GATAGTCCTTATAGCTTAGAATACTGCCTAAGCCCCATTCTCTGTATTTCCTCCTTGCAGAACTCCAATTTGGCAGATGTTGGAGAATCTTATTCTGCCCATCATTTCTCTTTATTGTTTTATCACATCCTCCTTTTATCTCTCTGTGCTGTTACACTGTTATAGTCTGAGTGATTTTTACAAATCTACTGTCCGGTTAACAAGTACTCTCTTTGACTATGCAAATTTGTTTATTTTCCTATTTTCCTTATTAAATAACAAGTCTAAAGTGTTCGTGGGAATAAAGGGGAAAAATTTACTTTCTTCTTTTCTAAAATGGATACAACTGACCTATGAGCAACTTGGGGGTTAGGAGTGCCAATCCCCCATATAGTCAAAAATCCAAAAACTTAACTACCAATAGCCTACTGTTGACCAGATGTCAGAAAGTTGATTAATACGTATTTTGTATGTTATATGTATCATATTTTGTATTCTTATGATAAAAGTAAGCTAGAGAAAAAAGTTATTAAGAAAATCAGAAGATAAAATGTTCACAGTATTGTACAGTATTTAACAATACTGTAGGTTTTTCATCTGTTTACAAGATGAACTGTCTGAAATGGTGAGGAACTACAGCTGCAGACCTTAATCTACAGTACATATCAAGCAATTCAACTTTTTCTTATAATGTCATGACTTTTTTCTACTTCTTGGGAGCACTTCCAGCATCACTAGTGGCACTTTATATGGGTTTCATGGTGTTATTCAAGGTTTCCAGCACAGTCCTAAACATGATGAAAAACGTATGAGAACCATGAGAGATCACTTTTTACCGCAAATATCACATGGTATTTTAAGTAGATACTTTCAACACTTGAGCTCACTACAACAGCAACAGGAGGTGGCTATGAAATTATTACTATAGTATACACTAGAGTTAATTGTATGCAGTTATGATTTTTTTCAGCTCAATCAATTCATTTATGTTCCTCTCTAAGCTGACTGCAGTTATGATTTAATACTGCATCTTTCTATTTGTTTACATTTCTCTCAACTGCAAATGGCACTTTGTAGGGTCTAAGTGTTTCTATGTATTAGTTTTAATACATTTTATTTTCTTATAAATTTGTATATATTTTATGGTAATAAATGATAGGCTAGTAGCTACATATATTTCATGCATTCATGGCATGCATTTTTAAAATATATTTACAGTCTAAAAAGTTTATCTTCAGGGTTTTATAAACTGTCACAGAACTCCAAAAAATTTTCCAATGTGTTTATTGGAATAAAAAATCTTCATATAAGCAGATCTGTGTAGTTCAAACCCATATTGTTCAAGGGCCAACTGTAATAGAAGAAACTTGCTGTGGGTTGGAGGAGGGCAGCTACATAATAATGTACATACAAATTAAAAAATATATAAATGACATATAACATACACACATACATATAGATTTATGTGTCACTTAACTATGGGCATACATTCTGAGAAATGCATCAAAAGGTAATCTCATTGTTGTGCAAACATCATAGGTGTACTTATACAAATCTCCATGGTATAACATACTATACACCTAGGATATAGCCTATTGTTAGCAGTTTACAAACCAGTACAGCATGTTACTATACTGACCACTGTAGGCAACTGTAACACAATGGTAAGTATTTGAATATCTAAACACATCTAAACATAAAAAAGTACAATAAGATACAGTATTATAATCTTACAGGACCATCATCATATGTGGTCAGTTGTTGAACAAAATATCATTGTGCAGTGCACGACTATATCATGTAGTATACATAACTGTCCATGCTACATTTTTATATGAGTGGCAGTGAACTAGGTTTGTTTACACCAACATCACCACAAAATGTGAATAATGTGTTGTGCTACAATGTTATGAAAGCTACCAGGTCACTAATCAATAGGAATTTTTCAGCTCCCTTATAATCTTGGGGGACTCTTGACGTCTATGTAGTCTGTCACTGCTTGAAACGTTATTACATGCTGCATGAATGTATCTGTTAAATGTATAAACTGAAGAGTTTTTTTGGTTTTTTTTTTGAGACGGTGTTTTGCTCTTGCTACCCGGGCTGGAGTGCAATGGCGCCATCTCAGCTCACCACAATCTCCGCCTCCTGGGTTCAAGCAATTCTCCTGCCTCAGCCTCCTGAGTAGCTGGGATTACAGGCACGCACCACCACGCCCAGCTAATTTTTGTATTTTTAGTAGAGGCGGGGTTTCACCTTGTTGACCAGGATGGTCTCGATCTCTTGACCTTGTGATCCACCCGCCTCGGCCTCCCAAAGTGCTGGGATTACAGGTGTGAGCCACCGCGCCCGGCTAAACTCAAGAGTTGAAATCCATTTTTGACCAATGTAGAGTCTAAGTAGAAGGAGGACATTTCATCCTTTTATAACTACAAAAAGATTTAAGGCTGGGAGCAGTGGCGCACGCCTGTAATCCCAGCACTTTGGAAGGCCAAGGCGGGCAGATCACAAGCTCAAGAGATCAAGACCATCCTGGGCAACATGGTGAAACTCTATCTCTACTAAAAACACAAAAATTAGCTGGGCATGGTGGTGTGCACCTGTAATCCCAGCGACTTGGGAGGCTGAAGCAGGAGAATTGCTTGAACCTAGGAGGCGGAGGTTGCAATGAGCCCAGATTGTGCCACTGCACTCCAGCCTGGGTGACAGAGTGAGACTCTGTTTCAAAAAAAAAGGATTTAAATCTAATATTAAGTCTTCTGTTCACATAGTACATGACTTGAATGTACATAGGAAGTACATATAAATTTACTGGAGGAAGAGTATTCCAGGTGGAAAGAACTGCAACACCTTGTGGCAAGATGGGGCTCAGCATGACTGACAAATAGCAAGAAGGTAAGAGTGGCTAAAGTAGTATAAAAAAGGAGTAGAAAATGAGGCAGTTGAGGTGGTCAGGTGTTAGATGGATATATGGCCTTACATGTCATCAAGGTTCTGGATCTTACCATGGTGTGATGGGAAGTGAGTAGCACCTAAAATGTCCTTGAAAATGTTATTTAAATTTTATATTACGTTTTGTATAATATTTTAAAAGTGGGAATTAAGAGATTATGATCTCATTTGGAACTTAAATGACTTCATAAGTCATATTTCTCATTTATTTGAAACTCAAGTTACTTCATAAAAATCAAGCTTTTTCATTTTTAAAACATGTACAAGATGACATATTAGAATAAGCAATGTAATGATTACAAATGACATAATCTGATACAGAATTCGGGACAAAATTCTGTTTTGAGACTTTTTTTTTTTTTTTTCTCTTTGAGACGGAGTTTCGCTCTTGTTACCCAGGCTGGAGTGCAATGGCGCGGTCTCGGCTCACCGCAACCTCCGCCTCCTGGGCTCAGGCAATTCTCCTGCCTCAGCCTCCTAAGTAGCTGGGATTACAGGCACGCGCCACCACGCCCTGCTAGTTTTTTGTATTTTTAGTAGAGACGGGGTTTCACCATGTTGACCAGGATGGTCTCGATCTCTCGACCTCGTGATCCACCCGCCTCGGCCTCCCAAAGTGCTGGGATTACAGGCTTGAGCCACCGCGCCCGGCCTTGTTTTGAGACTTCTATATGTGAATATATATATTACAGTGCACATGAAACACATGTACAATCTAATGAATAACTAGAGTGAATCAGTGCAACCACTATGTAGGTCAAAAAATAGAACATTGGCAGCACCTCTAAAACCGTTGCTATTTGACTTTTAATAAAAGAGCTTACTTAGGACTATAATCTGTGATAATTATCTACTTAAATGTCAACTGAAATCATGTGACCAATCTTTTTATGAGCAAAAGGAATGTTCCCTTAAGTCCATATTTAATTTCAATATGGAAATTGAGTATGTATCAACTTAAAATCGATTCACATTTCAGTATAGGGATGTACAATCTCTAAGACATTTATTTTTAATTGAAAATATATATCACATGTATAAAAAATAGAACTACAAAACTTAAAGATAATGTATACATTTTCGTACATTTTAGGGAAAGAGAACCTAATAGTAACAGCTTTAGGATTAAAAAGCATTTGATTAAAGTAAAATCAAAGACATTCAAAACTTTAAGATCTCATTATGTGTTTCATTATAATAAATTAGGCAAAATGAAACTTCTTTGTTTCTGGGTAGCTTCTAGTATATGCTCAGCAGTCATTAAATGTTAAACAATAAAATGTGAATTAGGCTAACCACAGTGTATCTAAAGCACACATTATTAAATTTGAGCCTATTTAAAATTTTATGTTATAAAACTACATGTCACTGATTCATAACCTTTCTCGAATAAATAAATAAGCCCAAAAAATCAAGATTTGTGTTTTCAAATCAATATTTTAGCAATAAACTACCAGAGGACAACAAATATGTTGGTCAAAATTAAAATTAAACTAATAATATTTTAAAATAAGGAACTTCATATTAAAATTAGATTTTTCTCTATGGAAAAATTCTACAAACATTTTGTAAATGCATTTGAAATAGTTAAGAAAAAGAAGGAAATGAAATACAATAAATAAAGGTAAGCTATATAAAGATATATTAAATGGTGGGTAAAACTAAATGGACAACCTGGATAAAAATAACATTTAGAAGTATCACTCTTTAAGTTGTAGTTCAGCAGTACCTGAATTATGCTCCCTTTAATTTATGCACATGATGGATAGCTTGTTAAGGGGCATATCTGTAACCATTATAATTGATAGTAGCTGAAGGCAAGTCAGGCCATAATTTCTATTTAATGGATGGGATAGTAAGGGAACAAGGCCTGCAGTTGCATTTTAAAATAAGTGCCAAGAGTTTACAGTTATGTCCAAAGTAATACCTATATTCTAGAAAGGGATTAAATTATTTGAGAGGAGAGAAACATCAGCTGTAGCAAGATCCATATATGATTAAATCAAAATTTTGATTTAACCAGTAACTAAAAAAAACTTACAATAAAAAGAAAAGAATGTTTAACTAACCATTTGATAGTCCATTTCTGTACTCTTGTTCTTTAGAGCTTGTGGGAGAAGCAAATAGACTCATTTGACAAGTTCCAGTTGTTGGAGAGTAAGTTATAATACTTTTCTTCCTTATGATTTTTGAAGGATCAAATGACTAGAAATAAATAATAATTTAGCACAGAAATAGTTATGTTTATAGATCTTTGAAATTACATACCATTAAAAAATCAGCAAAAATCAAACTCGTTTCCTTGTTCTTTCTTTTCAGATTACAAATATACTTAATAATCATTCTCAAAGTAAACATTATTCTTTCAAATTAGGTAGGCGTTTCAGGTCTCTACAACAACTAGAACATCTCGATTTGATATTTATGAAATTTTAGCATTAAAGAGTTACTACCTCTTGAGATGGTATTTCCAAACAGGTTAGAGATGGCCATTTCTCCCAACCACAGCCTGACTCTTGTTTTTAGCTGAATTTGAAGTATAATTATGGGTCCGGGGCAGGAAAACTCTCAGAGGTGCCTATTACTAAGCCTCACACAGAAACCTTAGGAAGGATCACTGCTGACCCACAGCTTCACAAAGTGGTCCTGATGTAGTATCTTGTTTCGATAACCAAAATAATGTCCAAACAATTGAGTCTGGCATTTAAGGCCTTTGAGAATTTGGCCTATCTTACACAATTCCTCTTGGCAGCTTCCTCCTTTGTGTTTCCATAGGTGATGGGCATACCTTTTATTACAGGTAACGTATTTTAATGTTTAAATTTTTCTGTCTGTCCCATTAAAATTTGCTCCTGAAAATAAGTATTTTTTTCACTTTTATATCCTAGAGAACTAAAAAATGTATAAGGAATGAATGACTTACAAGGAACAGTCAACTTGGCCATCTCACTCTACTCAGAATATACTAATTTGTTTATTGGTTTATTCATCCAATTATTCACTGCTACCTACAGCTCCAGTCACTAGGCTATGAGCATTTGGGCCTCAGATCATTCTGTAATCTCTGCTTGTAATGTCCTCTTTTTTATGCTCCCCAAGACCTAGTCTTTCTTCAGTTTAGGTCCTCATTCACGATCCCCTTATCATACTATTAATTGTTCTGTCTCCTGAATTTCCTTAAAACTTGCTTTCCATAAGGCTTACTCATCACCCACCAGCACTGCTAACAAATGTGTACAAAGAAATACAACAAATTGGCCGGGCGTGGTGGCTTAAGCCTGTAATCCCAGCATTTTGGGAGCCCGAGGCGGGTGGATCATGAGGTCAAGAGATCGAGACCATCCTGGTCAACATTGTGAAACCCCACCTCTACTAAAAAAAAAAAAAAAAAAAAAAAAGAAATATAACAAATTGTTCTGGCCTTAAAAAGTGTCTACCAAAAGTTAGAACAACAACAAAGAGGTTTTAAATTAGTATGTATGCTACGAAATTCAGAGAAGAGGGAAAATTCAGTTGGCTACAGTAATCTGTCACAGAAAAAGGCATGAGAAATCTAAAATCAGAGGTGAAACAGACAGCATAGGATGGATCTGGGGGATATAGGAAAGGCCTGAAGGCTCATACATTGCCAATGTACTGGATATAGCTTGGCAGCAGATTTGAAAAAGTTACTTAACTCTGTATGGTCAACAATCTTTTATTTTTAAGAGACCTGTGGAAGAAATAGTGGCTGTCTCATCTTTTTTAATAATCCTGATATTAGTTTCAAAATCAATAGCATTCAAAAAAATGTGTTTACAGTTAAGATTTTAAATATTAGGAAAAAATATTTAATTATATTGAGAAATAAAAGGCATTTTTAATTTTATGTATCCATAGTGCCCACAAACGCAAGAATATCTTTTACAAAAATCAAACTATAGGCTGGGTGCAGTGGCTCATGCCTGTAATCCCAGCACTTTGGGAGGCCAAGGAGGGTAGATCATGGTCAGGAGATTGAGATCATCCTAGCTAACACGGTGAAACCCCGTCTCTATTAAAAATACAAAAAAAAAAATAGTCAGGCATAATGGCACACACGTGTAGTCCCAGCTACTCAGGAGGCTAAGGCAGGAGCATTGCTTGAACCCAGGAGGCAGAGGTTGCAGTGACTGAGATCGCACCACTGCACTCCAGCCTGGGTGACAGAGTGAGACTAGACTCTTTCTCAAAAAAAAAAAAAAAAAATCAAACTATAATATCAAGTTATAACTCTAAAGCAATCTTTTTTTTTTTATGGTGAAAGAGTTTTAAGTCTCTTTATCAGGTGGTTACTATTACCTCTCCATCTTCAGTTTTCACCTGTTTATATGTACTCAGTCATAAAATATGACATTTATCCAATCCCTACTCTACTTTTCCAAGAATTTATTGCCCAGAACTATTACACTGTGTATGTACAAAAAATGAAAGTTGCTACCCAAATGTACATTTATCTCAATCTGTTTTCCTATTTTCACCAAAAAATTATTTTATCCAATTGCCAAATGTCTAAACATTTTCACTGTAGATCATATATTTCTTTTCAGAAACAATTTTCCAGCTTTTGGAAAATAACTCTATGTGTGTGTGTGTGTGTGTGTATTCTTGCCTTACTTTAAAAATACTGAGGCTTCTTTTTTTATTTTTGGTCATTTGTATTGGTTAAAAAAAAAGTCTACCTAAAACTACTATATGCAGAAGGAAAAATGAAAATCCACCCTTTCCCTGCTATGCCACTAAACAGTCTTCAGTAAATACACACTTTTGTTTATCTGCCCTACTGGTACACACAAAGGCATAACACTACTTCCCTAAGCTTTCTTTCCCTCAAGCTTGTACCAAGTTCATCTAACTTTTAATCTCTGAAGAGGTTTAAAAGTAATCCTAGATTCCATTTGAGAATTTCCATTCTTCCATCTCCCAAACTTTAAAGGTCTTGGCCTACTCATTAGTCTCCCACAGAGGAAGAATTAAGAATAGTAGGATTTGAGAGAAGATTGAGCTACTAACTGAGAAGACAGCACTCCTTCCACTCAGCAAGGACAAGTGCTACCCATGAGCCCTTCAGAAAAACAGGAAGAAAAAGTAAGAGGACTAAATTTGGCTAGAAAAAAGCAAGAACCCAGGATGTAAACAAAATGTAAAAAATAAATTTAAAAAAAGTAAATAAAAGATGTCAGCTGGGCGGGGTGGTTCATGCCTGTTATCCCAGTACTTTGGGAAACCAAGGCGGGAGGATTACTTTAGCTCAGGAGACAACCCTGTCTCTACAAAAAAGTACCAAAAAATTAGCTGAGCATAGTGGCACTTGCCTGTGGTCCCAGCTACTCTGGAGGCTGAGGTGGGAAGATCGCTTAAATTCAGGAAGTTGAAGCTGCAGTGAGCTGTGATCATACAATCACCACCACTACCACCACCCCCAACACACACATGAAAACAGATGTCACAACCAACTTCTGTAATAATTTACAACTGCTTGGCTGGGCACGGCAGCTCATGCCTATAATCCTAGCACTTTGGGAGGCCAAGGTGGGTGGATCGCTTGAGGCTGAGTTCGAGACCAGCCTCACAACATGGGAAAACCCTGACTCTATTAATAAATACAAAAATTAGTTAGGTGTGGTGGTGGCTGTATTCCCAGCTACTTAGGAGGCTGAGGCATGAGAATTGCTTGAACTCAGGAGGGAGAGGTTGCAGTGAGCCAAGATCACACCACCGCACTCTAGTCTGGGAGGCACAGGGAGACTCTGTCTCAAAAAAAAACTCCCCAAATACTGTTTGTAATATTTCCTAATTCCTTAGAGTTATTTAATACCATTTCTAAACAAAGGAAATGCCACATTCTAAGATTCTGCAATCAGCCCCGCCCAAATGCTACCGTACTTTTTATAAGGAGGTCTAACCTAGTACATTAGCAAAACTAAAATTTGGGCATCAATTTTTCTGCCTGAAAAAAAAAATCAATCTTCTCTCAATAATTTCAAATAGATGTGATATTTTCCTTCAGTATGTTTCACAGTTTGTAGCTTGCTTTGTCACCTGGTTTAAAGCATACACTACCAAAAAGGTGCCTGCATTTTATTGGTTTTTTTTTAAAACGTATTATATACAGTCTAGAAAGTACTAACTAAAAATTCTTGCAGGACGAAATATGGGATTTAAAGGATACTTTATCATTATTTTGAACTACTAGCCTATGCTAAAATATTTAAAATACAGATAGCATAGTGTCTGGCCAACCAGAAACAAAAGGGCAGCTAGAAGGAGACAATTCTTTATAAACTTATACTGGTTATTTAGGCTATGGGAATGTAAGATGATATAATTAATATGATTAATTATATTTGATATAATTAATATGCATTACTAGTACTAATTATGAAACTTACATTAGAAAACTCTAGCATTAGCTGCCTCAGAGACTTTTCACAATTAGGGCCTAAGGTTCCTTTAGGAGAGTACTAGATACTAACCACCTTCTTCTTCTTCTTTTTTTTTTTTTGAGACAATCTCTCTGGGTCCCCTGGGTTGGAGTGTAGTGGCACAGTCTTGGCTCACCGCAAGCTCTCTCTCCCAGGTTCATTCGATTCAATCACCACACCTGGCTAATTTGTGTATTTTTAGTAGAGACAGGGTTTCACCATGTTTGCCAGGCTAGTTTCCAACTCCTATACTCAAGTGATCTGCCTGTCTTGGCCTCCCAAAGTGCAGGGATTACAGGCATGAGCCACCGCGCCCAGCCCCAACTACCTTCTTATCAGCTACCACAATTACCAACCTTAATGATTCTAAAAATGTTGGGGTTTTGTTTTTATGGTAGCTATGGAGAACAGAAGCATTTTGAACTTATCTCAGTGATCTTACAGAGATAGCAGGGAAAGAATACGACTAATATGTTAGAGCTATGGCATTGAATTATGCATTCGCTAAAACTCATCGAATTGTACAGTCAAGATCTTTGAATTTAATATGTAATTTCACCTTGATCAAAAAAAAATTCACAAGAAAAATAAAATACCAGCTAAAAACATTGATATACTGATTTTTCTATTTATGCTAATTATTTTTTCACAATTTAAAGATACTAAGATTAATTTTAATAATAAAGGTATCATTACTATCATTCTCTTACACTGTAATTTTTTTTTCTAAGAGACAAAGTCTTTCTCTGTTGCCTAGACTGA